CAAGCTGCATCTAATTTCCTTCAACATTTTTTTTCTCCTTTAGCTGCCAATGGATTAGGAGAACTGATTAGAATTCAACTTGAAAACTGAAAAGCAGATACTTAAATGAGAAATTCTGCATTAGGAATTAAAATATATGTATTGGGCATAAAATCCTCTTCCTTATCTTTAGTAATGTCAACACACTTGCTTAAGTTGATTTATCACATGTCTGGTACAACGTCCCCAAATTAGGAACATATTTTAGAAAAGACAGAGAAGTGTCTCTTGTATGCACCACTGTTGTAGTACAAAATTACAGTATATTTTAATGGTAAGAAACTTTGAAGTAGACGTGACAGCAAATGAAGACAAACATAGGGATGGATTTTCAGCAGCCGGCCTCAACTTTATTAACATACGGGAAGAGGGCTACCCACCCTATCATGCATTTTAAGAGGTTCCAGTGCAGGGCTTCTACCATATAACCCATAACTCAGGGTAGACCCTCCTCAGCCTACCCCCAGGACTCAGCTCACTTTTCTGAGTTCTACCACCACCGTGCAGCGAGGGGGATAGACGGTGCTAAAAGGGAGAACCTGAGCCCATGAAGTCTTCCCCTATCCCATAAGCACAAGGCCCAATCAGTAAAATTCCAGGTCTTTTACTTCTGGGGACTGTTCGTTTTATCCTTTTAACAACATTGGAAACTGGCCGCGAATTGCAACAAACTAAAACCCTTACGAAATACGATCACTAATGATTAAATCCTATTCTTATGTAACTTAACTGTGCCTCCAGCATGAGTGAGGAAGGCAAAAAAAACTCCTGGGCCTCTGCCAATTTGGTCCCTATGGGAAGAAAAAATTCCTGCTCCCAAAACAGGTGATTGGTCAGACCTGGAGCATCCACAGAACGCAGCTCTGAGATTACCAGTATTGGGTGAGGAGGATGGGGCTGCTGGAATGGTCAGAAAGAGGCTCCACATGGCCCAGGCTAGGGTTTTAAGTCAATGAAGGGGGAGGGCGAGGAATCAATCAGCTCCCTTCCTTCCTGATGAAATGAAATGAAAACAAGACTATGTGCATGAAAAATGCATGCATTTAGCAAATTGAAAGATGTCATTAAATAAAAATATTGACACACATATCTGAACCATGTGGAGAAGAGAAAAGTGATTTGAAGTGAATTAGGAGTATATATTGGTGTAATGAGGAGATTATTCCTTTCCTTATGTCATCTTGTATACTGCAGATGATGAAGTACCATACATAACACTACATACATAGCTAGTTATTGCTAGTGTAGGTACAGTACTTAAGTGTAGCAGCTGTTGTCTTGTATATTGAATTATGGTACCTAACTTCTGTTTTATTAATTTAGATGGAATACATGGGTCAAAGGTGTTCACGTGACCTAGTCACTGTCCAACATTAAAGAGTGTTAAACAAGGTGTATAAAGAGATCTAAGCCTGCTTAGTACCATGGTGCAGAAACACCATAAGAATCATCTTTAACCTTTTATTAAAGATACAGAAATGAAGGATTCTGTTAAAGCATTTGAAATGTAAAGTATTAAGTAAGGCTTTCATTTTAACAACATCCCTTGTTCCCTTTCCCTTTAGCTGTGAAGTTTTAGATGGAAAAAAACCCTTATTTGACAGTCACTTAGATGATATCAAAGATGGTTATAACTGTCCTTTTGGGTAAAAGAGAAGAAATTAGTTGAGATTCACTGGAGCTGCTGCTGCTGTTAAAATCCAATCCTGTTTCTTCTCAGGTGGTGGTTGGGATTCACCTGCAGCTGGGAAGGATCGCAATGTCATTGGATCCTCTCTCTGGCCTGACTAGGTCAGGACATCTCTTAGGATCAGGATGATGAAAGTTAAGAGTCCCAGGAAACAGTGGGAATGGCAGCCATGATGGTGAAGCTCACTCCAGTAGCCTCCGTCTGTTCTTCTGTCCTTTCTCCCCCCAAAGTCTCTTTGTTTTAAGCACCCAGAAAGGGAATGATGGGTGGAATAGCCCATCCTCTCTTAATTTTGTCAGGCCTAATATCTGACCCATCAATTCTGATTCATTTATTTCCAGTTCCACATCTCCTGTTTTTTACCAAGCACGATTTTGACTCAGTCCTTGAATCATACTGGTGTGGCCTTTGGTTGTTTTGACTTATTTAATCTCTCTGTCTGGTTCTCTTGCATCTGTTTATAACATTCGGTTTTGAAAGTCACTTGACCTACTTTCCATCAATTTTTGTTGTTATAGATTATTGTAACCTCTTACGAACTTTCATATACTTTTTATAATTGAGCTCACGGTTAGGATAAATTTGTCAGCCCAATTATCACAACGCTTCTCCAGAAGAAATTCAGATATTGGAGTTTAGACATTATTAATGTGCAGAGTACTTTAGAAAACACACAGATGAGCCAGGATGCTACCCAGAGGAGCTAGCAAATCTAAACTGCATGACTCTAGACGTGCAAACACTGAGAGGATGAGGAAAGAAGTAGGGCCCGATAGTATCCTAGTAGATCAATAATGGAAGGCTAGGTGAAAGAAGTAGCTTTTAATACGAAATCTGAGAGGAGAGACAGAGGATACTTAGTGCATGGACAGATGGAGACTGTTCCAGACATACAGGGCTGCATGAAGAAACACTTGGAGATGAGAACAGGAGAAGTGATGAGAAACATTAATGAGATGGTACCATTGCCTTCTTAATTATATTAAAATTCTGCTTAGGTTAGAGTTCCTTTGTATACTATGAATACTGCATGTGCTTGTAATAACCAATGTTTTTGCAATCTGAGATCCACCAAAGGATACTAATGAAACAATTCCTGGTAGTAAGGGAAGTGTTAATTGTTGTTGTTTTGTTTTTTAAACGGATGTCTCAAGGATAGAAATAATGCTAACAGTGGCAAGCCTTCAGTCTCGGTATATGAGATTGCAATCACAGGAGCTAATTATAATGTTTTGCCTGCAATGACGTCTTAAACCCAGTTGCTCAGAAACATGAACGTGCATGACTGCAGGAAATTTATTTGGTGACAGCATAAACTTGACTGTGTCGAGCTGGGCAAAATGTTCATTTGGGATACATCTATGCAGCAAATTAAGGTGTGATTGTAGCATGGATAGGCCTACCTATGCTAGCTTTAATCTAGCTAGCATAGGTAACAATAGCAGTGTAGACATGGTGGCACAGAATTCAGGAAGGGCTAGTAACCCAAATATGTAGCTAGGGTCCCTGATGGGCTTGTGTTGGGATCGCTAGAGCCATGAGGAAGGCTGTTACCTGCAGTAGCTAGATTAAAGGGAACTGGACCATGGCTTTTTCTTGCCCCTTCCAGTCCTTGGTGAAATGTTAGCACTGGGTGCAAGACTGCAGCTCTGGAACCACCTTGCTCTTTACCCCCTCTTCATCCCACCGTTACCACCTGCACAAGATCAGGACTCAAATGAACCATGTATGCCAGCTACACTTGGAAGGGGAGAAAATCTTCTCTGGGTGGCCTGTTGGGACAGATACAAATTGCAGTGCATTGGCTGGAAGGGCACCCCTACTTAATGATCAAATAGATAAGTATTATTTTTGGTACCTTACTAAGATAGTCAAATGTTTTACAGAATTATGCCACATGGAACGATGATCTTGTTGCATTAATATATTCATTGTAAACATCAAGTTAGATGGGTCTTATTTTAAAGATATTTTTCCCAGGGCACGTTACTATGTTAAGTTTTAAAATACACATTGCACCTTTTGTTTCTTGCTGTCTTTGAATGGTATGATTATAAAAGGGGGCACGAAGAGCATCCACAAATGTCTTGCATGTAATGTAGGATAATTTAATTGACAATTGGGTGCAGGAATTTCAGTTCCTCTAAGTTGATGAATAGCCATTTTCTGGAGGTGTCATCAATTAATCTGTTGTAATGAATTCTCTTTATTACCTATGTCGCCTTGTTAATTATAAAGGGTTTTCTTACTCCTATTTATCAAGTCAAGATGCATATATTACCTTTTTATCTGTGCTACTTTTAATATAGAATACATGCAAACTTTTCAGTAAGTATCCACATGCTAAATTTCATTACTAAGAAAATTAGAAGTGCCTGCTACAGAATATAAGAATTGCCATCGTTTTTTCACACACATACAAACATGCACTCTCTCTCTGCCTCTCTCTCTCTCTCTCTCTCTCACACACACACACACTGTATATTAGTAGCCTTTTGCTTTTTATGGTATGCAGGAAAGATAATGCGTTCTCTTAAAAATATATCCCATTCTGATGTTTCTGAACTGTCTGCACAATATCTAACGCACAGAGGATATTTATCTTTGGTTTGTTTACAAGTCAAGCTTAAAACTTTCATTTACTTTTTATTTTTTACTTATTTTAGGTTTAAAATAAATACTTAAAATGGTCTTCTATTGGCACCATCTCACTGCTCCCTGCAGAGGTATGAAATTCACCCCTTGTGCAGAGGGCCGGCACAAGGTCTATTGCATCACTTGCATGTACCACTATGGGAATGGATTTCTCCCATTTGGGCTGTTGGGCCACAAACCTGTATAACTGTGCCCACTTATTCCAGGAATTAATTGGACTGCGTTAGAAACTGAATCCGTCTGTGCATAATAAAGGTTACAGCCTAGGCAAAGATAAGAACACTGTCTGGCCGCTAAGCCTAAACTTTTTCCAGTGCCCACCTCCAGTAGTCCAGTCTGCAAACTAACGGTTTTTGCAATGTGAATGCCTACCCATGACAATTTAAGCCGAGACCACCAATCAGCTCGTTATAGACAGTACACGCTTTTTTTGACCCAGCAGCAAGTTCTCCTCATGAGTTACACAGGGTGCCATTTACTGATTTCAGTAGTAGTTGGCATGTGTGTAAAAGGGGAGAATGTCCCCTGGGCTGTGCTTTATACCCCTGTTTAGAAAGTAATGCCTAAAACGGTGACCGTATCATTTTCCCTTTTTTTTTTCTTTTTTTTTTTTTAGGTTGAAGCAATACTGGTCAACATTTTTGGTGGTATTGTGAACTGTGCCATTATCGCAAATGGCATTACCAAAGCCTGTCGAGAACTTGAACTGAAGGTGCCTCTGGTTGTCAGACTTGAAGGTGAGTGATAAAGGTTTGGGGCTAAAGTCGGCTCTCAGCTGCTCTCAATTACATCGTGTTCCACTTAGGCTTATTCTGTTCTCCAGGCTCCTGTAAAGGATGCACAAACTAGTTCAGATGCAATAAGAATTGACCCAACTCTTTGCCTGTGTAACTACCTGAAACCAGACTTAGGGTCATACCCTCCAGTCTTTATTCAGTCCTTACTCAGGCAAAACTTGAGTAGGAGCTTTCCCTGAAAAAAGACTGCAGCATTTGCCTCTTCACTAAAGCAGAGGCACGCAAGCTAGAACCCCCTTGGTTTAGAAGAGAGTGAGTTTCTGGCAGGTAATTCTCTTGGAGGAGCCCTGAACTTTGGGATTCATTCATGCAGTCAGTCCAAAATCACCCAAATCCATTGATCATCAGAGAACATGGCAAAGTTCATCTCTGTTCCCAGGTACTGGGATGGGGATCTGTCATTAAAGTGTTGCCTTTTTCCCCTTCCTGGTTTTGTTTATTTTCGTCTGTTAGTCTGATTGTACTTTTAATATCTGGAAAAGTACCTACAGCCCTAACTAGAGGTTTTATGGTCTTCTGTATAAATCTAAAATACAATAAATGAACTCTTCCCACATATTTCTATAGTTCCTGGCCCCAGATGCAAATGGAAGGGCTGAAATACAATGAGAAAAACTTTACTCATTGTATTTCCAGCCGAAACAGAAAATGTTTTCATGGAAGGGCATATTTGCTGGATGGGTTTGTTTTCCCTTTCCAAATAATTTTTACTGAGCACAGTTATAGTATACACATGTATCCGGACACAGACCAATTATAATGCCATAAGCAAGAATAAAATGAAGAACAATATAAAAGAGATACAATATTATTCTACTTGGATGACCTGTTCTTTCCCAGATCTCCAGCTCAGTTTTTAAAAACACAGCAGCTTTGGGGATGGCAGCTTGAATAAATTCCAGACAAGCTTCTTAACTTTTGAGTTCTCAATCTCTTCCCTCGCTCATCCAGAAATTACAAACTTGATGTGGGTTCTGTTGCCTGTGTTGTGCAGGAGCTCAGACTAGATGATCATAATGGTCCCTTCTGGCCTTAAAGTCAGTGAAGCTTTAAAAAGTCTGGTGGCTCGGCGGTTGCTCATTTTAATATATTTTTGTTATTTTGCTATCTTAAAAAAAAAAAAGAGTCCCACAACTCCTTCCATCAGTTTCTGAAAAGTCTCCTGAAAGAATTGAGGAAGGAAGATTGGGTTTTTTTGACAATAAGAAGAAAAGTGTTTTGGTTTCCTGCAATCTGTTGAAACCAGCATAACGGTCATGATCAGGACGTGGGCAGTCCAACCTAGTGGTTGGAGCAGGAATCAGGAGTCAGGCCAGAGGGCAAACTGAGGTCTGGTGTCTGGAGTCAGGCAGGGTCAGGGTACCAGGAGGTCAGCAGTAGAAGTAGGAAGCAGTCCAAAGCAGGCAGAACCCAGCTGAATGGACAATTATCTGTTTCTGTGCTGGTTTATGTAGAAGCTTTGAACTAATTAGGATGACGAACATTCTGCCTATTGGATTCCAGGACTGGGGTCCTCTGTCAGAGTTCAGCTCCTATGTGACAACAGTTAGCAGGTCACTAGGTGGCAGGCTAGAAGTTAGTAGCTCCGAAGAGCCCTGCGGACCAAGGTTCAAAACCCGAGGTCCCTGACATCAACATTCTTATATTCAAAATCATTTGTTTCTGATAAGCGCATTCGGAAAGACTTCATAACAGGTGTTTTTAAAGGCATTTTCCTCAGTAAAATCAATATTCATGCTATAGTAGGTTATTTTGTCAGCAAGTACATTAGTTTAGCTTAACATAAAAACATGAAAGGCAAGATTACACCTTTGAGTGTCCTACTACGGTTTTCTCTGCATAGGTGTCTCTCTGATAGATCAAAGAATGTGAATAGTTTGTCTGACAGAATATTCATGATCTTGGTCATTCACAAATTTCGTGTGCAAACTGATTCATATTGTATACCAAACTGTGACAGGTTTCAGTTGGTCCCCCAAGCCGCTGGGGGGCAGTGGGGAGCTACTGTCTCACTGGCAGGCCTTGGTCACACCTTTCTGTCTCTAGGGAATTAGCGGAGGGAGAGGTGCCGGCAAGGGTCTGTAGCGCGCCCCTCAGGCCGGGGGGAAGTACTGGCAAGGGTCAGTGGCGTTGTCGGGATTCTGCTACCCGAAGGTCTGGGGGGAACAGCCAGCAGCCTGGGTCTGTCTCCCTCCCTGGTGCTGCCCTGACTGGGCCAAGGGCCCCACCCTGTATACTTACTCCAACCCCCCGAAGGGGAGGGGTGGAAAAAGAAGTTTGGTCTGGCTGAGAGGGTGGCTCTTTACCCTCTGGTTCGGAGGGAAGCCACCCTGGCTCCCTACACAACCTTATAGAGTTACAAGGACATAGTCATACCCAATCATTTAACTGTGCTACAAATACACTTCTTTACAGCATTATGTTAACCATTAAGGACTTTTGCAATGAAGCCTGGTTTTATTCTATTCGTTGCGTTGAGTTTTTTTGTTTTGTTTTTTTCTGTTTTAATGCCTCATACAGATTGTGAGGCCACCTCTCTCCCTGTTCGCCACTGTGGGGGGTGGAATCTACTGGGGTGTGTTTTTGCCGACTGCCCAGGTTTGATGGCCTGGTGGCAGAATGTTCTCAGGGAAGAACTCTTGGTTCTGGAATTGATTTGTCAGAGTCTGAGTCTTTGGCCTTGCGGGTTTGATGTAAGGCCCATCTCTTTTTCCTCTGGACGGTGCCTGGAGGGGGGGTGATTAATAGGGGTCACCATGTAAAAGTCAGCACTTGCACAGGTTTACCTATAGTGTTGTATCTCAGGTACTTTTCCCTATATTTACAGTAGGCAGCCCAGGGCTTAGAGCAATCCAGGGTAGAAAATGGAGCGTGGCTGATGAATACACTTGAGCTCTGACCCGTTGGCGTTACTCCTTGCAGAATAGCAGGAAATAGAACGTGTATATAAATAAATAAATGAAATGAAATTTAAAAGAGGGGGGAGGGGAATATTATATTTTTCTTTCAAATGTTTTCCCCCAAAATTTGAAATTCTATCAAAATTTTGAAAATATTTCAACCACCTGTAGCAGGAACTGCCCCTGCCTTAGAACTGCAGAGCGGCTTGTGCTGTCCATCGGTGTCTTTGCAGTGAAGGATTCCAGGCTTTTTAGAACCCCTCTGGCTTTTCAGGCTCAGTGCGGGTGGGGAAGCAATTGTGTCCTTGCGTATACATCAAGAGCCAGACAATACATTTTAACCAACCAGGCTCATTGTTTTTCTCTTGTACCAAATAAGAGTGTGGCAGGTCACTGGCAGGATGCTCCATGTTTCCTGTTAAAGGGATAGGCGGTTGCTATCCAAAATGTGAGTGTTACATGCAGAGCCTTGGGGGCATGGCTCTTGAAGTGGCAGGTTGGCCCTGTGAAACTCCATATCTGAAAAACTTCTTCTCTTCACCTTGGCAAAGAAGCTAAGTTTTCACATCCCTCAGTGTCATTCTGTTGTGCAGAGGTCATTTCCCCATGACATCAGGGGATGCCAAAGTTTGTAGCATGCACTCCTTCTATTCTGTATACTTTCTTGTACCACAGTCATCCCCGCAATATCTGAGCACCTTCCAGTAGTGCATTAAGCAACATGACCATCAGTGGAGGCCCAATACTCTGCCAAATAGGGAGAACCTTAAACACCTCTGAATTGAAGCATAGAAATAGGTTGCCAGGGATTTCATTGGATGATGAAACACTCCCTCGTTCCTAAAGAAAGGCAAACTAACAGAGTAATTTAATGTAGGTGACTCAGAGAGCAAAGGAGGTAGCTAAGAGATAGGAATTAATTTTGTATGTTAAGCCTCAACATTTGATTATTTTTCATGCAACTTTTGTTGTTTGTTTTAGTTTTTTGCTAAGAGCAGCCGTAGTTTTCTTGATTTAATAGCTGTTAGTGAACTGATTTAGGAATTGAAAAGCTATCATGTTTGGAAGAAGGTAATTCACAGTTGTAGTTGTAGGCTGGTTATTACCATTTTCTTTTAAACCATCTAGGGGACACAGGGAAAACTAGGCTGCAATGTTTATGGCCCATCTTAAACTACTGCCTGTCTAATGCATCACATGGGAATTCTTGATGTTTTCGTCTACTTGTAATTTGCAGTCTGTGATCCTGTATGTCTGGACCTTGTGCCATGTTATTTTCATTACCTTTGCCCGCCCCAGGTTCTGGAACACTGCAAAAACTAAAGCAATCCATGGTGTGTGTTAGAGCAACCCTAGGTACTGCTCTAACCTGCAGCTGCCTATGGCCTGCCCGGCAGCCCAGAATCTCCCTAGCACTGAATGCTGTAACTCATGATTACGCAGGGGCTTGCAAGCAGGGCTGCCTTGATTGACCCGACACTGCTCCTGCACTGACAGATTTCTTGCCAAAACCCCTTGAGGCTCCTGTATGTCCTCTATACTACCACCTGAACATGGTTTATGACAGCCAGTCCAGGGGCCCAAATTGGCCCCATTGCGTCTAGGACCTTTATCTCAGAAGAGTTGAGTGCTGCTTAGTCTGTTGGGATCAATACTGGATCTTCATGGTTAGAGATGGAAAAAATCAGTTAATCCATCATTCCCTTCCCATGCAGTATTGGTTCCTGGGATTATCCAGGCTGGTTTAAATGTTTTGGGAGATGGAGCTACCTCTGTTCCCTTTGGAGACTGTCCCACCATGATACCGTAGCTATGGCTGTTAGCCCTAATGTTGCTTTTAATTCATCTTATTAGTCGTAGTTTTACCTCCTGTATTCCCCTAAGCAAGGACTTCTGTGGTGTTTACTCCCTTCAGGTATTTTACTTATAGGCCCTTCTCATGTGACTGCCCCTTCCCCTGCCTCCTTAGTCATTCATCCAACCTATTCATAAGCAGTTCTTTTCATCTGTCTTCCAAAAGTCAATCCCTCCTACCCCGTA